CGAATCTCGTCAAATCAGTCCCGTTTCTCACCAAATTTCACAGATAAGGTATAAAAATCATAACGGACCTGTACTGGGCTCCGGAACCAAAATATGGACCCCGTACCAACACGATCAAATATTAACCAAATTCTTAAAACTATTATAATTTCAGTCTTACAATTTTTCATCAAAAATTCATTTCTCGGGCTATGAACCTCGGAATTCTATTCCGGACATATGCCCAGATCCCATATTTTACTACGGACCCACCAGGACTGTTAGAATATGGGTCCGAATCTGTTTACCGAAAACGTTGACCGAAGTCAACAAAAATCAACTTGTTAGGCCAAAAATTATTATTTCATCAATTTTCACATAAAAGCTTTTCAGATATACGCCCGGACTGCGCACACAAATCGAGAAGGAAAAAATGAGGTTTTGAAGACCTCAGAATACGGAATCGAGTTCTAAAACACAAGATGACCATTTGGGTCATCACAATCACGCACTGTTATACACAACAGATACATTCCTAAGTTTTTGTTTTCCTTTTTCGTCTCCATATACACTCGAACTCCCATATTGTTCCGAATTTCCATTGGAAGATAACGTTCATTGATAGTATATTTGATTTCGATGATTTTTGCGGAGGTATCGATCATTAGATGCTCTGCAATTGTGGAATTCAATTGACTATAATTTCAATCTTCATTGACTACAATTTCGTCAACATCAAAATCTTTGTATCTCCCAACGCTATTCCACCGATCATTGAGCTGAAGCATACTAATTTTGACATTATGTCACGAAATTCAATTCAATTGTAGCTAATTATTTATAATTATTTTCTTCAAAACCTTTATTTATGGGAAATCAGAGGAAACTAGAGAAACCCAGAGAATAGAAGGATACTATAGATATGTTGCCTTGATTATGGTGCGATGATAACAAGAGAAAATCTTCGTAATAGAACTATAGAAGGATTCTAAAAATATGTTGCCTTGATTATGGTGCGATGATTGCGTCAGTAAAATCTCTAATTGAAATATAAGAGATCCCAAAATCCCGCGTCTAAATAAGGAAGACTATCACAGAAAAGAGTCTAGTTTAAATATATATATATATTTATAGCTAAAACGTGTTTAGGTCAGGTAAATACCAAAACTGAGATATTTTTGATAGTAAGGTTTAAAATATTGTATATGAACGAAAAAATCCCATGCATAATACCTCCACTTAGTCCTTTTTTTTCCAACGAAGCATTTTAACTTTTCGGCCATCAGAGTTCCTATTTCCATTGGGGTGAATTACACAAATAACCCTCAAAGTGGATGATCTTAAATTTTTTTTTCATGTTTGTCTTATGGACAAAACTTCAAGTTGAACAAGTGTTGCCCCTCTGCCCCCGCTTGACTCATGAACAATACTTTTAACTTCTGGCCTTAGAGTTCTGTCCACAGTACAAACAGAGTCAAAAGTTAAAGATTACCCCAAATTTCTACAATTTTTTACTTTCGTTGTATATTTGTTCGAAGTGGTATAATTATGAGATCTTTACACAAATAGACGGACAGATCCACTGTTTACTTTTATTAACTGGTATACATAAGTTATACGTTGATAATATATATGAATTATACATATATTTAATTACTAAATTTTGTTCCTGAAAAAAATAATCAAGACAAGAAATATAGCAACAAATATTATATTCAATTTCAAGTGATGGGGTTACAATCTCTAGAATATCTTGAATCTAAAGAGATGTAGTCCTCTGATTCTTCTCCTCACAAATGATGGTTCAAGAGCTTGAGAGCTTAATCTTGAACTTGACAGATTTCAGATTTGTATTGCATCATGAACAATTTGAAGGTCGTCACGAACCAAGATTTGTTGTTGGATTATCACCAACGGAAGATTTGAAGCCACCCGCTTATGATTTGCGTTCGCCTTTGGGATTTGACCATTGCAGATGTGGGTGGAGACCTTGATGCTATTCTTCAGAGGTTCTTCAGCCTTTCTTTCTGCTTACTTGATTGTCCTTCTAGCCTTCTCCTTTGACCCCTTTTATATAGGTGTGGGATGGAGTAACATCCAAGAATACCCTCATGGGCCATTAGGCTTGGGGCTTTATATGGGTCTATCCATATTGTAAAAAGTCCATTAAATGGGTTAGCCCAATAATATTGGAATTTTATTTAAATCAATTTAATTAGATTTAAATAAATAACCCAATTATACTAGCCAAATTATTTGGTTGGACTAATATATGTTTGATGTATGGTAAAATCCAAATTTCTTATGGATTTAAATTTAGTAAAATTTAAACTGTCTACAAATGCCCCTTACTTCAAGGCTTGTCGGGGTGTAGGTTTGCCAAAATCAAAGAGGATACTTGAAGTACAAGTGAAGACAACGTCTCTGTAGGACTCCCTTAACCGTACTGTCCGATATACCAAAGTGAACAATCTTGTTTTCCTTTCTATTTTTGAGAAGAATTTAGTTGCATCAAATTCCTTAGGTAAATACCATAATATCCACATTGCACCATTAACATGGAACTAGGCGATAGATTTCAAAAATAATACAACTCGAAACTAGACCTTTATGGGTATGGATTACTAAATTTAGTAAGAATCCACTTGAAAACCATTAAGACAAGTTAGCTCTCCTTTGATTCAAGCAACCTTCCACAACGTGATGCTTCTCTCGTTTAAATTATGTCTCAAAGTTTCCATGTAAGACTTGGTTATTAGTCTACTAGGAATTGCTCTTTTTCCCTAAGAAAAATTCTTGTTCACTAAGGAATGCATCATCGCCTCATGAGTTCTATAAAAAGGACATGAGGTAGATCTCAAACACATTGAATAATACAAACTTGTAGCTCTCTAATCATTGCAGAAGATACACAAAGCTCTTCATGTTTGCAATCCCCTTTCTCTTGCATCTTTTGAAATTTTGGTCTCATTCACACTGGTGTTTTTCCCAAGAAACTGATAGCATCAGTAAAGAAAGTTCAAATCGGCAAACCTTGTGCAATTTTTCATTGAACTTGGCCATAGCTTGAAGCTTCGTGTCGTTGGGCACCGTTACCTGTCACGTAGATCCGAAAAATTTGAGTCATTAGTATCTTTATTTATCGTGATGAGTTGCCTCATGCCATTGCCATTGTTACCTGCTACTGAACTAAAGGCCCGTGTCGTTGACACCGATCAATTAAACAGGACCAAAAGCTTTGTATTGTTGGCACCGAGGGCTCCAAAACCTTTTCTCTTTCTCTACAAAAATTGTCTGGGATAGCCATCTTTGTGCATATGTGGAGAAAATAACCATATCTTGTCGTACGAGAATCAGAAATACAAGTTGTTTGATCCTTTTGAAACTACACTTCTAATACTTCAATGTATCAAAATCTTGGGGCAAAATTCCTTCTATATCTTCTCATGTATTATTTTGAATTTATTTCAGATGCTGCTGTGCTCGATTTTATAGCTCTGCGCCTTCACCAAAAAAATTCATATCTTGGTGTAGGAACGTCAAAATCATGAGTGGTTTATGGTTCCAAAATTAGACTTCAATAACTAGGAAATATGTAAAAATCAAAATCAGACCGTCCATAGATCTTCCCAGATATTTGTCAAAATTTAGGAAACGAGTTCCAACCAGCTGGCTCCTTCAGCTTTGCGTGCCTTCACTAAAATTTTAGTTTCTCGCTGTAGGAACGTCGAAATCGCAAGTTGCTTGATTATACTGATGCTAGATCAAAGGACTACAACATATCAAAATTTCACCTCCAAACACCTTCTGGATTGGATGGAATTAATTTTTGAAGTTGATCAACACATCTGGCCTACTGATTTCACAGCTTTGTGAACTCTCGGTGAAAATGTCATATCTCGAGATAAGATCGTCCAAATCACGAGTCGTTTGTGCCGTTGAAAAGAAGAATTTGAGAGATACAATATATACGAAGCTCATTGCTCTACCCTTTTTGATCCAGTCACAGTAAATCTTTGAATCAAAGGCCGAAATTGGGAAGATTATTTGGACAACATAATTTTTTTTGCAGGTTTAGCAAAAGAAAGGTTTGTGCCTCATCATCCTTGTGGCTTTGCTGACAAAATTACATGGAGAACTTATTTTTGTAACCTTTGGCTAGAAATTCCACGGAGCATCCCTCACCTTCAAGCTTTGGCATTGGATAACTCCTTCTTCCAACTTGGTGAAGAAGTTCATGGAGCGTCTCATCCTTTAAGGTTTGGCGCGGAACAACTCCTTCTTGCAACTTGGTGAAAAAGTTCACGGAGAGTTCTATCCTTCAAGATTTGATATGGAATAACCCCTTCTTGCAACTTGGGGAAGAAGTTCATGGAGCTTCCTATTTTTCAAGCTTTGACGGAATAATCTGTAGAGTATTCCATCCTTCAAGATTCGACAGAAAGTGCACGTCACAATGATCACCATCCGTATTGAAGTATTGTGTCGCCGATACCGTGGATTGCACTTCTTTTTCTTATCTTGCAGGTTTATAAATAAGAAGCAACTAGTCTCAATATCAATCGAAGAAGACAAAAGTGATGTCCACATGGTTGGCAGGGAATCACTTGGTGTCTCTTCTTCACAATTTCGTGACTTCAGCGAGATACTAGTTGGTATGCCACCTTGATAAGTGGAGATTTTGACTACTTATTAGCACCTTTTAGCTTTTATTTTAGTCTAAAAGCGTTCAATTGTGTTTCCGAGATGAAATGTGCTTAATTGCAGGAATATTGGAAAATAAACTTCTGAGATGAAATCCAACTCAAGAAGGAGTAATCTGAACTCAAGGACAAATAGACACAAAACCTCAGAAATGCAGACCGTAAAATATCATCTGCGGCCGCTGGTTGTGAAGAAATTCTCATTAGAGAAATGTTCAAATTGCGGTCCGACATGATATGTGCGGCCGCAGAAACTGGGTTAGAGCAAGAGTTCTGAGAACCCGCATCTCAAGTCCAACAAAAGTGCGGATCACACAATTATTGTGCGGCCGCAGAAGAAAAGCTACAATGCCGAAAACATTTTATGCGGATAGCAAAAAGAGAGCAATACGGCTGCAGTTCAGAATTATGCGGCCGCAAAGTTCCAATCCTGTCAAGTTGAAGAAAGGTGCGGACTGCACATGGAATTGTGCGGCCGCAGAACCTTCGAAAAGGCATTTTTGTTCGAAATTTCCATCCCTGTATAAATAGATGAGTTTCATATTTTTAGGTCAAGTTTTGACATCAGTTGCTACAGTAGGCAGTTTCTTTTACTCTTTTTAGTAGTTTTTGCTATTTTGAGCTTTTTTAACATTGATTCCATCATTTTAATTATAAATATGGTTTAATTATCATTTCTTCTTCTATTTTAAGCATGAGTAGCTAGATTTTCACTTGGGTTATGAGCCAACCTTAGAGTATAATCTTAATGAGTGTTTGATTTATTGTTTGTTTATGGTTCGGTGTTTATTATTTAGCCTTGTTCTTGCTTTTAATTGTAAAATTAATGGGTGCAAACATTAGATCATGCCTATTTGACTTGGTCTCTACTTGAGAAAGAGAGACTTAGCCTAGAAAAACTTGGCTAACAAGAAATTAGGTCAATCGAGAGATTGATAAGCCCAATTAAAGGGTTTAACCTAGAGATAGTAAAACCCGATTTTAGCTTTTTATCAACTGTTTTGTTCAATACCCATTTGGACTTGACAAAGCCAAATTGGGCAAAATCACTTTCTGACCGAGAGGTATTGAGTGGGTACTTGAGTGTTCATAGCAATAATACACCCCGACCAATAAAACAAGCATTAAAGTTTACAACCCATTAGGAAAATACTTAAGTAAAGGTCATAGCCCTAGGCCTTTTATATCATTTGAAAAACAACAAAAATAATTTCCTAGTTTACAATCTTAGTTTAAATTAGACCTAGAAACAACCCAAGTATGTGGAAGTGTAAATTGAGATAATTCAAGCTCATACACTATAATATATACCCATAAGTCCTATTCATAACTCCCTATGGAAAATCGACCCCGGCTCCTTATTGGTTATTACTATTGTATCGACCGTTTCATAACCTTAAATAGAGGTGTGACTTGGATGAGATCACACCTCTATCGAAGAAGTATATTTCACGTCTCCTCTTTGTTGCTTGATGAAGAGACACATGATGCATCCCTTCCTTGCGACTTGGTGGGAAGGAGGTTTGGAGCGACCATATACCATTCTTGGAAGGGGAGCACATGGCGCATCCCATCCTTCAACCTTGTGGAGATAAATTACATGGAGTACCTCAACCTTCAAGATTTTAGTGTCGAACCACATCTTCATTCAGTTTGGAGAAGTCCATAGAGCATCCTATGCTTCAAATTTTGATGTAGAACAACCCCTTCTTGCAATTTAATGAAAAAGTCCATGGAGTGTCCTAACCTCTAAGCTTTAGCATAAAACAATGTCTTCTTGCAATTTGGAGAAGAATTTTATGGAGCATTCCATCCTTCAAGCATTGGAGTTGAACAAGCTCTTATTGCATATTGGAGAAGAAGTGCATACACCATTCTTTTCACAACTCGATGAAATGATACATATAGTGCTCTATCTTTCTAGCTTTGGAGGAGAGCATCATCAGCCTCTCTTTGTCATCATGATAAAGTAGACCTTTTTTCTAAATTTATGTGACTGAACTTAGAACAAAATTCTAAGTTTCCTATGTACCTCCGCAAAGAGGATCAAGTTACTACTACTACTACTACTACTACTACTGCTGCTGCTGCTGCTGCTGCTGCTGCTGCTGCTGCTCCTGCTGCTCCTGCTGCTGCTGCTCCTGCTCCTGCTCCTGCTGCTGCTGCTGCTCCTGCTGCTCCTGCTGCTTCTGCTCCTGCTCCTGCTCCTGCTGCTCCTGCTCCTGCTGCTCCTGCTGCTACTGCTGCTACTGCTGGTACTACTGGTACTACTACTGGTACTACTGGTACTACTGCTACTACTGCTACTGGTACTACTGCTACTACTGCTACTACTGCTACTGCTACTGCTACTGCTGCTGCTGCTGCTACTGCTACTGCTACTGCTACTGCTACTGCTACTGCTACTGCTGCTACTGCTGCTACTACTGCTACTGCTACTGCTGCTGCTACTGCTGCTACTACTGCTGCTACTGCTTCTACTGCTGCTACTGCTGCTACTGCTACTGCTACTACTACTACTACTACTACTACTACTACTACTGCTGCTACAAGAGACCCTTGCACAGTTCATGAGCATGTACAACACTTTAGCTCAGGCAGGTTGATTTCTCTTACTGCAGCCACATCTCAGGCTGGGGGAGGAGCATAGACTCCCGTCGCTCGTACCCTAAAGCAGTAGGTTCAGGTTGATCAGATCCCAGAGGTTATACCGGAACCGCCTATAGCCCCAACATAGCCTAAGGGTAGGGCAGTAGTTTCAAAGGAGGAGCAACAGAGGCTTGAGAGGTACAAGAAGTACGACCCTCTTACATTCAGTGGTCTAGCATCAGAGGATGCTTAGGGATTTCTGGAGGAGTGCCAGTGTATCCTCTGCACTATGGGCATAGCAGAGTCGAGTTGGGTTTCTTTCATTGCCTTTCAGCTTCGAGGGGCAGCTTATTAGTGGTGACGTACCTTTGAGTTGGACAGTCCAGCTGAGGCAGCTTCCTTTACATGGACCCAGTTCTCGGATATGTTTTTGAGGGAGTATGTCCCTCAGAGCCTCAGGGATGCATGGCACGCAGAGTTTGAGCATTTGCGCCAGGGTACTATGACTGTTTCAGAGTATATTGTCCTTTTCAGTGACTTGGCTAGACATGCACCGACCTTGGTTTTTACAGTTTGTGAGAGAGTTTGTCAGTTTATTGAGGGGCTCATTCCTAGCATCAAGTCTAGCATGGCCCGAGAGTTAGAGATGGATATCGCCTATCATCAGGTGGTGAGTATTACTAGGAGAGTAGAGGGCATGCTTGCTCGGAATATGGAGGAGAGAGAGGCCAAAATTTCTCGAGAGTCGGGCCTTTATTTTGGTATCCGCGCCCCAGCTGTAGTTCGTCAAGGTAGGGGTTATGTGAGTCGCCCCGTTCATTCTACTCTTCCAGCAGCCAGTGGTATTCCAGCTCCTCCCTGACCTTAGGAGCCTTATTATGCACGTCCAGTATCTAGTGCGCCTCCTGCACGGGGTGCTTTCAATGGTCAGTCCAGCAGACCTGGTCCGAGCCAGTCACAGCGGCCACACCCTTCTAGAGCTTGTTTTGATGACACTCACCATATGGTAAGGGATTTCCCTAGACTTAGGAGGGGTGCACCTCCATAGACTTCTCAGCTACAACGTGCTTCGTAAAGTTCCCAGGCTATGATCACAGCACCAGTTGTGACCCCACCTACTCATCCAGCTAGAGGTGGAGGTAGATGTCACCCTAGAGGGGGAGGCCAAGATACTATGCCCTCCCTTCCCCTACAAAGGCTGTTTCTTCTGATTATGTCATTATAGGTATTGTTCCGGTCTATCATAGAGATGCATCGGTTCTATTTGATCCATGCTCCACTTATTCCTATGTGTCCTCTTATTTTGCCTCGCATTTGGGTGTATCTCGGGATTCTTTGAGTTTCCCTGTTTATGCTTCTACTTCTGTGGGAGATTTTCTTGTTGTGGACCACATTTATTGGTCATGTTTATTGCTCTTAGTGGTTTTGAGACCAGAGCCGATTTATTATTGCTCAACATGGTAGATTTTGATGTTATCTTGGGCGTGGACTAGTTGTCGCTCCATTATGCTATTTTTGATTGTCACGCCAAGACTGTGATGCTGGCTATGCCAGGTGTACCGCGATTAGAGTGGAGGGATACTTTAGATTACACTCCCAGTAGAGTTATTTCATTTCTTAAAGCTCAGTGAATAGTTAAGAAGGGGTGTAACGTGCATCTAGCTTATGTGAGAGATGTCAGTATTGATACCCATATAGTTAATTCAGTCCCAATAGTGCGGGATTTCTCTGATGTGTTTCCAGCTGATCTATCGGGCATGCTGTCTGACAGAGATATTGATTTTGGCATCGATTTGTTGCTAGGAATTCATCCCATTTCTATTCCTCCTTATCTTATGGCTCTTCTTGAGTTGAAGGAGTTGAAGGAACAGTTACAAGAATTGCTTGATAAATGCTTTATTTGGCCCAGTGTGCCACTTTAGGTTGCTCATGTCTTGTTTGTGAAGAAAAAGGTTGGTTCTATGCGTATGTGCATTGATTATCGCTAGTTGAACAAAGTTATAGTGAAGAACTGGTATCATTTTCCTCGTATTGATAACCTGTTTGATCAGTTACAGGGTGCTCGAGTGTTTTCTAAGATTGACTTGCGTTCAGATTATCATCAGTTGAAGATTCGGGAGCTAGATATCCCAAAGACTGCTTTTAGGACTCGGTATGGTCATTACGAGTTCCTTGTTATGTCATTTGGGCTGACCAATGCCCCAACAACATTTATGTATTGTGATGCACAATGTATTCCGACCATATCTTGACTCGTTCATCATTATCTTTATTGATGACATTCTGATGTACTCTCGGAGTCAGGAAGATCATGAGCAGCACCTGAGGACAGTGCTTCAGACCTTGAGATAAAAGAAATTATATGTGAAGTTCTCGAAATGTGAGTTCTGGTTGGATTCCGTGTCATTCTTGGGTCACGTAGTATCGAGTGAAGGGATCAAGGTGGATCCGAAGAAAGTGGAAGTAGTGCAGAATTGGCCCAGACCATCCTCAGCTATAGAGATCCGTAATTTTCTTGGTTTGCCGGGTTATTACCATCGATTTGTTGAGGGATTCTCATCTATTGCAGCACCTATGACCAGGCTGACCTAGAAGGGTACTCTATTCAGGTGGATAGAAGAGTGTGAGGAGAGATTTCAGAAGCTCAAGACAGCTTTGACTACAACCCCAGTATTGATATTACCTATAGGTTTGGGGTCTTATACTGTCTATTGTGATGCCTCGAGGATTGGCCTTGGAGCGGTGTTGATGTAGAATGGTAGGGTAATTGCCTACGCGTCTAGGCAACTGAAGGTGCATGAGAATAATTATCCTTTCCATGATCTCGAGTTAGCAGCTATTATTCATACCTTAGAGATCTGGCATTATTATTTGTATAGTGTTCCTTGTGAGATTTATACTGATCACCAGAGTTTTCAGCATCTGTTCAAGCAGAAGGATCTTAATTTGCATTAAAGGAGGTGGTTAGAGCTGTTTAAGGATTATGATATCACTATTTTGTACCACCCCGGGAAGGCTAATGTGGTGGTTGACGCTTTGAGTTGCCGGGCGGAGAGTTTGGGGAGTTTAGCTTATCTACATATAACAGAGAGGCCCATGGTGAGGGATGTTCAGGCCTTAGCCAGCCAGTTTGTGAGATTGGATATTTCGGAGCCTAGTCGGGTCCTAGCTTGTATGGTTTCTTGGTCTTCCTTGTTTGATCGTATCAGGGAGCGTCAGTATGAAGAATCTCATTTGTTTGTCCTCAAGGACAAGGTTCTGCATGATGATGCGAAAGATGTGACCATTGGTGATGGCGTGGTATTGAGGATGCATGGTCGGATATGTGTACCCAATGGTGATGGGCTTTAGGAGTTAATTCTAGAGGAGGCCCACAGTTCGCGGTATTCCATCCATCCGGGTGCCGCAAAGATATACCAGGATTTGAGGTAGCACTATTGGTGGAGGAGGATGAAGAAAGATAATGTTGGGTTGTAGCTCGATGCCTCAATTGTCAGCAAGTTAAATATGAGCATCAGAGACCGGGTGGCTTGCATCAGCTGATAGAGATTTCGGAGTGGAAGTGGGCGTGGATCACCATAGATTTCGTAGTTGGACTTCCACAGACTTTGAGGAAGTTCGATGCTATTTAGATGATTGTGGATCGAGTGACCAAGTCTGTGCACTTCATTATTGTGTGTACTACCTATTCTTCAGAGGGATTGGCTGAGATTTATATCTGAGAGATTGTTCTCCTGCATTCCAGTTTCCATAATTTAAGATAGAGGTACTCAGTTTACATCACGGTTTTGGAGAGTCGTACAACTTGAGTTGTGTACTAGGGTGGAGCTGAGCACAACATTTCACCCCTAGAAGGATGGACAGTCTGAGCACACTATTCAGATTCTTGAGGATATGCTCCGTTCGTGTGTGATGGAGTTTGGAGGTTCTTGGGATTAGTTCTTGCCACTTGCGAAGTTTGCCTACAACAACAGTTATCAGTCCAACATTCAGATGGCACCGTATGAGGCTCTATATGGTAGGCGGTGTAGATCCCCGGTGGGTTGGTTCGAGCTGGGTGAGGCTAGATTATTGGGCACGACTTGGTTCAGGATCCTTTGGAGAAGGTTAAGGTGATTCAGGATAGACTTCGCACAATCCAGTCCAGAAAGAAGATTTACGCTGACTGGAAGGTTCGCGATGTTTCATTTTTGGTGGGAGAGCGGGTCTTGCTTCGGGTTTCGCCTATGAAAGGCATTATGAGGTTCAGAAATAGGGGCAAGTTGAGCCCAAGGTTTATTGGCCCCTTTTGAGGTGTTGCGGCATGTTGGGGAGGTTTCTTATGAGCTTGCCTTACCTCCCAGCTTGGCAGGAGTTCATTCGGTATTTACTATTTCGATGCTCCAGAGGTATCACGACGATTTGTCTCATGTGTTAGATTTCTGTTTAGTCCAGTTGGACAAGGATCTATCTTATGTTGAGGAGCCAGTGGCTATATTCGATAGGCATGTTCGAAAGTTGAGGTCAAAGAGCATTGCATCAGTAAAGGTTCAGTGGCGGGGTCAGCCGGTCAAGGAGGCGACTTGGGAGACCGAGCAAGATATGCACAACCATTATCCTCATCTTTTCACCACTTCAGGTATGTATCTATGCTCATTCGATGACGAACAAATATTTTAAGAGGGGGAGGATGTAACGACCCGATCGGTCATTTTGAAAACTAACGCCCCGATCCCTTTTAAACTGCTTTCCCCGTATCTTTTTCTGCTATTGTGATTTACCGGGACAGGTCATTTTGAGTTTCGAAGTGTTTTGGGACACATAGTTCCTAAATGGGAGTTTAAGTATTAGAATTTGGACCGTAGTCGGAAGAGTGTGAAGACGGCTCCGAAATGGAATTTCGTCAATTTCGTTAGCTCCGTTGGGTGATTTCGGGCTTAGGGGCATGTTTGGATTGTAATTTTGAGGTCTGTAGCTCATTTAGGCTTGAAATGGCGAAAATTAAATTTTTAGAGTTTCGGGCCGATAGTGGAATTTTTGATATCAGGGTCGGAATCTAATTCCGGAAGTTGGAATAGGTCCGTAGTGGTGCATATGACTTGTATACAAAATTTAGGGTCAATAGGACATGGTTTGGTTAGTTTCGGCATCGGTTGTAGAATTTTGAGATTTTAAGTTCATTAAGTTTGGATTGGAGGGTGATTCGTGGTTTTAGCATTGCTTGATGTGATTTGAGGGCTCGACTAAGTTCGTATGGCGTTTTAGGATTGGTTGGCATGTTTGGTTGAGGTCCCGGGAGCCTGGGGTGTGTTTCGGGTGCTTAGCGGATTTGGTTTAGGACTTATGCCTTGGTAGAAGTATTGATGCACCTGTTGTTTTTGCACCTGCGGATTTTGGACCGCAGGTGCGGTGCCGCAGAAGCGGAGAGGGACCCTTGCAGCTGAGACCGCAGATACGACCCCAGCCCAGATAAGTGACCTTCGCACCTGCGATGATTTTTCCACAGGTGCAGGATCGTAGATGCGGCCCCATGAGCGCAGATGCGGAAATCGCTGGGCAGAAAAGAGGATTTTGATGGTTTGAAATTTCATAAAACAAAATTTGATTTGGAGCTCGGTGGGAGGCGATTTCTCGAGGTATTTTGAAGGAGAACTATTGGGTAACTAATTCTAACTCTATTTTGATCATATTACATTAATCTATGGTTGTTTTCTCATCTAATTAAGGAATTTGAGGGTGAAGGTCTGGAAATGAGGGAAAAGTTCCCCAATTAAAAATATAAGGTTTGAATGGGAACTAGATGTCGGATTTGATTGATTTTTGTTTGAGTGAACTCGTGAGTGAATGGGTGTTCATAATTTATGACTTTTACTCGATTCCAAGACATGGGCCCGGGGAGGATTTTTGGGCGTTTTCCTATTTTCTTGCCTTAGCTTTGAATTCATTAGCTAAATTAGTTGCTTGTAGCTTTATTTATGTTACGTAATTGATTTGATTAGATTTGGGCCACTCGGAGTTGGATACTCGTGGGAAGAGCGTGATTTCAGATTGATTTAAGCTTGGTTCGAGGTAAGTGGCTTGCCTAACCTTGTACAGAGGAACTCCCCTTAGGATTTTGGTACTGTTGTTATATGAATGCCATGTATGTGAGGTGACGAGTGCGTACACGTGCTAATTGTCGAAAAACCCCATTTTCATTAAGTAAATATCTATGTTTTCCTTTAATTTAGCAATGCTAGTATATGTTGCTATCCTGTTTAGCTTAGGAAAGCATGCTTACGTGCCTTAACTATTTTAACTGCCTTAAATGTCTACCTCAACTCTGTGCAGCATGCTTAGAGTAAGGATTGCCTGTCTTCTTCGATATGAATCTAAACTGTAGAATTCCTTGTTGAAACTGTTAATTATGTTGATTGAGCTGTATGTTTACTTTGAGACTACAGAATAGTATTCCGGGAGATCCCCCTACACATTTTTATTTGGGACTACGGGACGGTATCCTAGGAGATCTCTTGTACTTGGCCTATTATCTGATTTTAATACATGTTTTAACCTATGGTTCAATTTAACTTTATAACCGCTTTAATTAATTATTAAGAAGATTCAACATTATTTAAAACACGCATTGAACCACGTCACATGAAATGCACCCGCGGTCCACGACACATTTTATTTAACGTTGTTGAGATTTGGATTTGGGTCACATGAAATGCACACCCGAGTTTAGGAAGGTGATTTTAAGATTACGCGCCTACAGAAACTACGCGTTTTCAACTTTGCGAGGGCCGTGAAAAATTCGCTAAACGACGCGCCTCAAATTCTAAGGATTTAAAAGAAATAATTAAATGAGGGCCACGCATCTGAGATTTTATTTGGCACGCCGCACCTCAATTCCAATTTAAAGGCAATACTTAAAAAGGTATAAGATGTGCATCTATTCTAAATTAACGTTCAATTAACCTTTATTAGTTGTAAGCTCACGTTGGACAAAACTTCCCTCACTTAAGCTCAATCATTCAATTCGTTCGTGTCAGCTAAGGAACATTTGTATTTGTAAGTAGATCAAATAGCCTTACTTCTCCTGATGACTTCGTTTATGCCAATGATGGCTCACACACAAACTATACCAATAGTAGCGGGGTTCAAACATTAAATAAGAAGAGAAACCGAAGTATGGTCACACATGACAAAGAAGGGTTGCGTTCCCATGGCAAACCAACAGAACAAACTCGGAACGATTAACTTTCCAATACAAGAATCTTAAAGTTTACCATGACAAAGGATTGCCAACATGAGATTTCCTACGAACGTTATAACACGAAACCTAAAGAGAAAGAAAAAAAGGGGGGAGGAAAGCGACACTGTAACAGGGGACCTGCTCAGAATCATTACTAGGAAAAAAAATGAATTCTCTCATAGGTACTGCCCTGAAATCTGCAAATTCAACAAGGAAAACTTGCTTCTCATTAAAGACACATGCCAAAATTCACATAAGATGTTCAAAGCCTTTGTACCGTCGAAATAACACGCCACAAACTTTTTTACTTTAGAAGAAGGGTATTCAACTCATTTAATCAAGAAAACTTCAATCCTTTAAGAACTAAAAGAACAAGCTGATTGAATAGACTAAAGGATTCCTATAATATACCAAAGGGTCTAAATCAGTGAATAATGCACTTTTACTCAAGTATACAGCTCCATCTTACCAAAGAGCCTCAGAGAAATTAAACAGGTCCTCAATACACCCTCTCGACATTAGATGACTAAAACGGGGGGCAATGAGGCCAAATAGGGGCTGGAATCAACAAGCTTAAAGCCTAGACCAAAAGTTAATTACAAAGAAACACTGAACTAAGCTATAAAGCACCATAAAACAAAGTAGTAAGGCTGAACTCATAACAGAAAGCTGAAAACATGTTTTGAAACTTTAGAATTTCCATCTTTATTCCTCAAATCAATCTTCACATGAGGTAGAATGTAGAAGTGTACCTGGAAATCGAAAAAGAAACAAAGAAATATGGAGTCAATGGCCAACAACAGTGGAGCAGTAACAGGAATCAGCTTCAGATTCAATAAAACAACAAAAACGGCTGATGAACACCAATGGAACAACAACCACCCAGCAGAATTCAAACCAAAAACTTTCTAAAATCCGAATTCAAACCATTTCAATCTTAGAGAATCAGAAAAGGTTTCAGTAATTGAAAAACTTCAGAGATCAAAACAGGGAATTCAATGGAACATTGTTTTCTTTAGATTTTCAGCCGTCTCTGACTTTTCTGTATTTTCTATCTCTTAAAGTCTCACTTGAGCTTGAAGAAATGGATACCTTTATAGGAAAGGAACTAGGGGAGCCTAGAGAAATCAGACTTTTCATTTTGACCCTTTTGGAATTTTAGTTTTTGCTTAGAAATCCTTAGGTTAAAATTCAGAAGTTCATTTGAATCCCTACCCCCACCTTCTAGGCAACTTCCTATTAAGTTACAAGAGATTATTTCACCTAGACTCCCTGAACTAGCCCTTAAATAACTGTTAATTACCTTCAAAAAACAAACACCGATATGGGTCAAAGTTGCCCTAGGGTCGAATTAACCCAAAACCCAACCCAATACATGAATCTGTATACTAACAGCCCAACCTACAACTTAAAATGAATAAGGGATAAAGAAAGTTGATTCATCAAGCCCTTTAATAAAATTAACGACTAAACTTACATAATTTCGGCCAAAACAAAACTCAAACAAAACAAACTCAAATAGATATTAATCCCAATCACGCAAATGAACAACTAGAACTACTGATTTTAATCAAACTAAAATTGATTCAAACACACATAAATACAAAAATCAATGAAAAAGAAAACAAGAAACAGATGCGAAGAAGGGAATAGAGAAAGGAATGATACTGGTCTTAGCCGGAACAAATCGACGAAGGCGACGAGCTTGGCCAGGCGCCTTTGGTCTGGTCAGGAACTAACAAATTTTGAAATGTACAAAAACTATCATTAGCCGATTATTCCGGGTAAGCACAATCATTTAACGAAAGTCCTGAGTCAAATCAAGCCTTGAGAGCGTAGGAATCGGAACATTACTTTTCTTCTATTTTCGGGTTCAAAGTTGAGGTGAAGATGTGGGGATTTTGGGGAGATTGAAAACGACTTAATGTTTGAGGGAGTATGGGGAGTGTGTGGTAAAGTTTTGGGATGATTCGGAGGCGGAACGCCGGCGACAATGTTGGAATTCTTTCGAGGCGGCGCTGGTTTGATGAGAGAGATGGGAAGTCTGAGAAATGAAGATGGTACTAGGTTAGATTCAGGGATTTTTGGACAGTTTAATAAAAATAATACATAGTTTCACAGTCGTTGGATGATGCCAAATCAAAGGTCAAGATCAATGTTAACCCTTGAACTCGAAACGACGTAGTTTTAGTTCCATACTATGTCGTTCGAGTCATCTAAAGTGGTTGGATGGTTGGACTGGGTATGGGGAGGGACATTGGGCTTGTTTTGAGTGGTTTTGGACGGGTTTCAGGGGAAAAATGTTTGGGCATGGGGGGAAATTCAATTGATGAGCCCAAAACTTAAATTCTCTTGTTTTAAAACCTTTTTCTCCTTTTCAATTTCAAAATTTTCTTTTCTTTTCAAAAATAAAACCTAAACCAAATTATCCCATTAGATTAATTACTCAAACTAATATTTACAACAATCGATTAATTACCAAATTAAAAGAAAACTACAAAATTCGAAGCTAAATGCAAAAATAAGTTATTTTTGTGATTTTTCTATTTTTGTAACACAACCAAATTACTAATTAATTTAAAAATGCAAAATTAAATCCTAAATGCAAATGCAATGTATTTTTTTTTGTATTTTTCATGAATTAAATAAAATAGAGGTGCACAGACAAATGCAAGAAAATTAACAAGAAATGCTACAAAAATCTACGAAATTGCAAACAATGGGAAAAATTTATTTTGTTTTAATTTATGGGAGTAATTCATATAAAGTGCCCATAGCTGCCCCTCTTTGCTCGGAAACACGAAGAGTTTTCGTGCAAAGATAAAGTGAGCATATACGAGCGATTTTTGCCCGTTTGAACACTCCGAGAGAAGCATTTTTTGAAAGATTTGACCGCACCCTGCTTTCGAGGTTGCCTACATATCCTTGGCTATAAAGGAATCAGGTCAGTGTAGTTCGGGAAGTTTTGGTAGTTGGGACTACCATGAAGCTGTGATTTCACTGTTGCTGCTGCTTACTGACCTCCTTATTACACCATGACAAAATAAAAGAAGCTAGACTAAACTATGATCTATACATTACAAAAATCCTATCTGTATCTTCAAACTTGATCTTGTGATTCTTGTTGCCTTGTTGACTGGTATTCTCCCGGTGAAGTCCCTTTGTTGAGTTGTGATCTGAGACACTTTCCCTTTTCTTCAGGTGGACACCTGATTGCTGAATTCAAATTATAATCTAAGATGATTTCCTTTTCTCCAGGTGGACGCCTGATTGCCAAAATTTGAACTGTATTCCTGTGCTCTCCACGTAGGCACCTGATTGCTGAACTTGAATTATATTCCCGTGCTCTCCAGGTGGGCTCCTGATTGCTAAACTTGAATTGTATTCCTGTGCTCTCCAGGTGGGCTCCTGACTGCTGAACTTGAATTGTATTCCCGTGCTCTCCAGGTGGGCGCCTGATTGCTGAACTTGAATTGTATTCCCGTGCTCTCCAGGTGGGCTCCTGACTGTTGAACTTGAATTGTATTCCCGTTCTCTCCAGGTGGGATCCTGACTGCTGAAATTGAATTGTATTCCCATGCTCTCCAGGTGGGCGCCTGACTGTTGAACTTGAATTGTATTCTCGTGCTCTCCAGGTGAGCGCTTGACTGCTGAACTTGAACTGTATTCCCGTGCTCTCCAGGTGGGCGCCTGACTGCTGAACTTGAATTGTATTTCCGTGCTCTCCAGGTGGGTGCTTGACTGCTGAACTTGAATTGTATTCCCGTGCTCTCCAGGTGCGCGCCTGATTACTGAACTTAAATTGTATTCTCGTGATCTCCAGGTGGGTGCCTGATTTCAACAAAAATAGACAAAACAAAAAAAGATTTCTGCCCCAATTTGGTAGCTAGGCACATATGTGAGTGTTACACTGAATCATATTACCAAATATTACTAAGAATTTGAAAGCTAGATCCCGTTATTCAGGAGGGTCCTGATAGCTCCTAGTTACACGACAATTTTAAATCTAAATTATATCTCCTAAAGGTATTACTTTTGCTACATCTTGTTATCTAAGTCGATCTTAAAACTTCACCCCATTATCCAGGAGGGTCCTGACAACTCTTGATTAAACGACAATTTTAAATCTAAGTTATATCTTCTGAAGGTAAGAAAGTATTAAAGCTACATCCCATTATCCAGGAGGGTCCTGAAAATCAAAAGTCAAGTTTTATCTTAAGAGTGACTATTTTACACCTAAATTATATTGCCCTACACCAGAACTTACACTAACTTTTGTTATCCAATGGAAAATTTTAAAGCTAGGTCCCATTATTCAGGAGGGTCCTGACAACTCTTAATTAAACGATAATTTTAAATATAAGTTATATCTTCTAAAGGTATTATTTCCGCTATATCTTGTTATCTAACATCAATCTTAAAGCTATGTCCCATTATTCAGGAGGGTCCCGAAAATTCCTAATTGAATCCTATCTTAAACATGCAATCTTTGAAACCAACCTATATTCCTTGGGGTACATTTATGCTAGATTTTGCTACTTATGATTGTTTCGATTTTTAAACTAGGTCCCATTTTCCAGGAAGGTCCTGAAAATTTATGGTCAAACCTGTCTGGTGCTTGCATTTCCTTACGGTGGGTTTCTCCGAAACAAACAAAATTTTCTGCCCCTATTTCAATCAAAGAAAAATCTTGTCAGTTTAAAATGTGGTGGTTGGTTTGTAGCCTTGACTTTGAGGGCGAGTGCTCCTTCACTTCCCATGATAACTGATTTCCACTTGAGGACCTTGCTTGTTTATGGGCCAACCACTTTCTCTGTCGTTCTTATCACAGAAAATACCCCTTTTCCGTTCATACCCAATTCCCTCTATTTGTTGCATTGCTCATGAACTGACATTTACCAACCTTTGTGTTTCATCGAAAATACCTTTGATCCGTCCACCTAACACTCTCCATCTGTTGCATCGTGCTCTTGTGTTGACATGTACTGCACCTTTGTGTTTCTTATGAATTCCAACGCACGCTAAATGTCATCCACTTAGTGCGCATGCTGTTCTTTCCTAACTTAAATCACTGGCCTTGGCCTTGAAGTCTATTGTTCCCTCACTTGTCACGATAACTTTGATTTCTGCTTGGAAGACCTCGCTTGTCACTGGTTAACCACTTTCTTTGTTGATCTCATCACAGAGAATACCTTTGACCCGTTCGACCAACATCCTCTATCTGTTGCATTATTCATGAATTAAAATATACCAGACCTTTGTATTTCTCATGGACCCCAAAGCATGTTGATCGTTACCAACTCAGTGCGCTTGTTGTTCTTTCTTGACTTATGACACTATGACGTGCTATCCAGATCTCATTTTGTGCAATTGGAAAGTTGGTGGCAGATTTTGAAGTCATTTTTTACTTGTTCCGACCAAACAGACTCATGAAGAGGAAGTAAACAAGACAAAAGGGACAGAGTAAAGGATAATGGAAAGAGATGATTCCTAACAAGAAAACTACAAAGTAGGAACCTATCAAATGTGAATACCAACTCTAATGACCATGACATGCACCTGAGGCCTATTCTGTTAAGCAAGTCTGATGTTCAACTATTGTTGTATCCTTAAACCGTAAAACTAGGCTTCAATGCTTCGATTATCCAATCTGACTAACAATCCTTATTCGACTTGTAGTGCCCGAAGGGTTTTCACCATCAAGCCTCTCTCATTTTGTTCTTTCTCTCAACTTACAGTCGCCTCAAGGTGCCCGTGAAGGTTTTCACCCATAAGACTCTCTCATTTTGATTTTTCTCAGCTTTCATCGCCTTGTGGTACTCGTGAGGGTTTTCATCAATAAGACTCTCTCGTTTTTCATTTCCCATGTTTGGATCAGAGTGTTGCCCCTGATATGATTCACCTCTACTTTCTCGCCTTAGAATCTCTTGAAGACTAATCGGAAGGTCTTTCTTTGGACCGTAATGTGGGCTTTTGGATGGGGTTAGAAAGAAAGGGTATCAAAAGGCTCAAAACAACTCATTTGGGTTCAAGATTACAACTTTCGGAATCAGATTTCTTACAAGAACCACAACTTCTGCCCCAGTTTCTTGTTTAGGGACTTTTGGATTTTTATTTTTGATAGGACCGAACCATGAGGCTGCCTACGTATCCTTAAAAGGAATCAGGTCGAACGTAGTTCATCTCACAGGAATTACTTTGTTGTTGTGATTTTTCTTTCCTTTTTCTTCCTCTTTCTCCTCTTTTCTTTTCTTTCTTCTTTTTCTCTTTTTGTTGTTTTGTTGTTTTTTTTCCTTTCTTTTTTTTTCATTTCTTCTTCTTTTTCCTTCTTTTTCTTCTTTTTTTTTCTCTTTTTCCTTTACTTATCTTTCACGCTTGCATTTCTGATCTTTGCTACTGATTCCGAAAGAGGGGTATGAAAGAAAATAAATAAGACTCAAAGGGGTAACGAAAGATAAAGTGTTTAGATAGCAGAACAAAATGCCTTCGTCATTCCAATCTCCAAAACATGCCAAGTGCAAACTACACAATTAAACAAACCAAGGAAAACATTTGTAACATATTTTGATTGTACCAGATTTGATAACCATATCCACTCATTCGCCTTCTGCATCTATTACCTACAAACCACCTTTAGACAACACCCTCACTCTCATTACCACGAACGGCCTCTGTCAATTTGGGCAAACTTGCCTTTAGCTTCAACCTGATGCGGCATGATGCATTTTAATAAGGTTTCTTTATGTTCTATCTGCCCCAGTTTCACACAATTCGGGCTTGAAGTGATCTCAAAATGCCTTTACTTATTTCCCCCAAATGTCCCTATCATCTTCAAAATTGTTTCATTCATTTCTTCATGACTAAACTGACTTTTTAAGATTAGGCTGAGAGTTACGCATGCATGTCATGTTACTAGAGTCAACATGAAAAGAACTATAAAAGAAAAGGAACTAAACAAAAATGACTAAAAATAACAGAAACAGAAAATTGCATTAGACAGATGGTGGAAGGGTTTGAACAACGAAACAAACTAACTAAACTGGGGTTACAAACCTAGAACAATCCTAGACAACACTAACGGGCTACTATGCCTAAACAAACTAGGCAAAATAAAAGGATAGAAGGGTTTGAGTCACAAGACAATATCCGAATTACAACCCTGAAATAACCCAGACAGTAGAAATAACAATAAAATAAACCACCAAAACTCCTCCCTGGATAACCAAGAAAAGAGCATCTTTCCAATCATCAAACTCAACGTCTTAGCCATTGACTTCTGCATCAACAATACTAGGACCTTCACAAGTCTCTATCATATTGTTCTTAACAGATTGCCTTTGGGTTCCCTTTGCCTGCTAGTTCTTAGGATCAACCTCTAATAGCGCTGAAAGCTTCACAACACGTGGACCTCTGAGGATCCCAGAAGAATTCTCACATTCCTTTTCGAAATAAATCATACCCACCATATGCGTCTCATTATGCACAGGTGACGGACTTTGACTAGTGTCTACTATATCTGGATTTTGCACGACAATGTCGCCTGCATCAATAAGCTTCTGAATCGCGTTCTTCAGATTCCAACACTTCTCTATGTCATGCCCCGGGGCATCTGAGCAGTATGCGCAGCTCTAAGAAAAATCAAACTTCTTTGGAAGAGGGTTTGGCATTTTTATCTGGATCGGCTTCAACATGTCCAATTTCCTTAGCCTCTAGAACAGACTGGCATATGACTTTCCCAATGGAGTGAAGGTTTTCTTCTTCCGCAACCTCTCGTTCTTAAATGCTTGATTGGGCCGGAAACCTGATCCAGGGGGTTTCGTTAGGCTCGTGGGGGTGGATAGGCATTTTGTGGAGCTGGGTACTGGGAAAGTGATATACGACTTTGGGAGTTCTATGGAGAGAAGTAGCATTGGGGAGGGTCATCTGGTGCACAAGGATATCCAATGGGATGATGTTGAGGCTAGAAGTGTTGAGCAGGAAGGCCCATCAAATCATCTTTTCTGTTTCTCTTTCTTCCACCCAAACTTACTAGGATGTTCTGAACGTCTTTCGAACAACTCATGATTTTGCCTGACTTGATTCCCTCTTCTACTAGCTCCCCTATTTTTAACACATCATTGAAAGGCTTTCCCAAGGCCAGATTAAATGACTGAAGTAGGTGGGCCCCTGGGCTTGTAGGAAAAGCTCAACCATTTCTTCTTCACCAATCAGGGTATTGACTCGAGCAGCTTGCTCCCTCCATCTGAGCCCAAACTCCCTAAAGCTTTCCTCTGGCTTCTTTTCCATTTTAGATAGGTAGGAGCGGTCTGGGACAATGTCTATATTGTACTGGAAGTGTCGCACAAAATCTTGATCCATGTTGCCCAATGTATGCCACTTACCGACATCTTGACGATTATACCATTCCAAAGCTGCCCCAGTCAAGATCTCACTGAAATACGCCATCAACAAATCATCTTTCTCGCCAACACCTCTCATTTCACTACAATAATCCCTCAAATAGGCTGCCGGATCTCCACACCCATCGTACAAGTTAAACTTTGGAACGTTAAACCCCGCAGGCAGACGAACGTCGGGGAACATAGACAATTCTTTGTAAGACATGCTACCCTGGTCTCCCATTCCTTGCTTGTTCTTTAAGGACTGTTCTATGCCTTTCAGCCTCCTGGGTATCCCATCTCGCCCTTTTCTTCTTGTGAACTTTTCATTTTCAACATGAGGCTCATCCCGCGGGCCTTGCTTGTATGAGTTGGAGTTGGGAACCTTATGGGCAACCTCTGAGGGGTAATATTGGGCATCGTGAGCTTTGAATGAGTGTTCATTGTTGGGGATGGTGGATAAGACAGGAGGGCAATTTTTGGGAAAGGTAATTGGAAGATGAGTGATGGAGCTACTAGGGTGGATGGGAAATCCATGATAAGCGGGTGGATCTGGAGAGTATGGGGGATCATCTGGCAATGTGACCGGTGTTTGGGTAAGGGTAGCATTTAGGAAGCTAGGAGATGGCAGGGGTGGTGCCTTCCCAGTCATCCAAGCATGATACATGTCCGTCATGTATTGTCTTAACATCCTTACCTCATCATCCAAACCAGTGTCCCGTTCAGCCAACTGCTTTCGGGCACCGGTATCAACCAACCCAATTTTGTTGTTGTCCGCCATTGCCTTTTGAATTTATGTTGCATAGAGGAGTTACTACTTCGGGAACCACAAACCAACCACCTTTCTGTGCTGAATTGTCAACAACAAACTTGTTAGTGATTAGAGCTTAAAAGATAGGCAACCGCACATTTGGGGAATGAATGCACCTAAGCAGTTAACCGTTTCTATTATGCATTTGATCGGTTGCTTGCGTCATCCTAGCTTTTCCTTATTTCCATTTGCAACTTCTTCTCCTTTCTTTTCACTCATGCCTTTCTATTTTCTCTTTGTTTTTATCATCTCATTTCTCTCTCTTGTTTTTCCATTGTTTCCTCCCCATGGTTTCTTATTTTTCTCTCTTTTTTTTCTTGTTTTTTTTCTTTGTCTTTCCTCTCTTTTTCTCTTCTTTTCTCTTTTTTTTTTGGTTATGATCGAATCCTATGGAGATTGCCTACGTATCATGACCCCGCATAAATCAGACCAAGTGTAGTTCTTGGGGATAAGTGTAAAAATAAAATATTTTGGGATTTTCAAATTTTCATAAAAATAAAATGCTTTGATTACAACGACTCAAAAACTAATAGACTCAAAAAGACACTAACAGACTTTGATGAAAAGATGAAAATGTAGACTCAAAAACAAAAAGACAAAAACACAGACTCGAAAATGGACTAACAGACTCCAATGAAAATTATGAATACATCAATGTCACAACTGCTCCCGGGGCCCGCGGGATATCATTCGGTCTCGCCACGGGCCTACGCGCTAAATCCCCTTGGAGGTGGTGGAGATCTTCCATTATCTGGCGGACAAAGGTCATCACAGTGGCAAAGAACATGGATCTAGTCATATCCTCACAACTACTGCACTTCATCGCGATGTAGTCGGCGATCCTTCTGACTCTCTCTCTTATGACACCCTTTTCTTGCAACAAACGCCCAATCTGCTGGGCCCTGGCTTCCAATGTTTGTTTGGCTACTTGATTCTGTTCTTGGAGTTGTTGCAGGTCTCTTTCTAACTGTGCCATTGCTGTATAACAGTGTTCTCTTTCAGCCTTAAAGTCTTTCGCCTGCTTGATCATTTTGTTCTCAACGGTGATGACCTTTTTCTTCAACACCGCAACCTCATTGTCGTATTTCTCTTTTAACTGTTTAACCAGGCGCGCTCGTTCTTCCGCATTCTTAGCCAATTTTGTTCGAGCCCTGGCTAGTTCACCCTCTACTTTGTTCAAATCAAAACCATACTCATCCACCTTCTACCTAAGGTTCTTTATAAGCTTTTCATCCTTTGTACTTCTAGCAGGATTTTCAGCTGTTGTTTTCATTTCTCGAATCTGGGCTCGAAGGGCCTCATTTTCTTTGGCTAGCTTTTTCTTTTCACCCTCATCCGCAAACCATTCTTGAATTGGAGATCCCTGACTTGCTTTTCCAGCTTTCCTATTGTGGCCCTGTACTCATTCTCCTTGTCCAACCAAGCCCACTGTTCTTGCAATGCCTCAACGAATTCCCGAATGTGAGGCTTTTTGGCTGGTTTTTCAGGTTTAGCCCTTGTAGTGTTCTTTTTTCTATACAAGACAGATAGGCAGGTGAGACCTCGCATTTAGATAGGTCACACACTCTAGTGTTCGCTGTCAAATACTGGCACTCGTTCTAAATAGAACGAATTGTTTCTTCATGAAATTGGCCATCGGAGCTAACCTCGACCGCATAAACACTAAGATCTTCATCTGGGTGCATCACCTGACACCTTCCCAACTGTCTCATCACCCGGTATAGAGCGTAAGGCTGAATGCCTCGAAGACCCATTAGGAGGAAGTAAGGACCGGTGGCGGGCATATATATAATTTCTTCAATAGGAAGCCAACCCAGTGTCCATTCTATTTGCCCCGCAGTGATGGAGCGAAGGCAGGATACCCAAACCCATCTGGGAACTTGAACCCTGAACTCCTTGTGTCTAACTCTTTAATGCAACTTTTCTCTGCGGACCCATAACTCATATACTGAGGGCGGTGACATAGGTGTTTGATCATCCACATTTGTAGTAGCAAATTGCATCCCTCGAAGAAATCTGCCCCAGCTTTACAAGCTGTGAGAACTCGGTATATCTTAGATACTATCATGGGGGCAAGGGTGCTCTTGGCATTGGTAATCAAGACTTTGACGACTCCAGCCACCCGCAGATCGATATTCCCATCTTTCCCGAGAAACACCACGAGGCCTAAGAAAGCTACCATGAAAGCGAAACGCCTATGCTCATCCCATTTTGCTCGGTTCCCTTTGCTACAAACCCCGCTTTCCGAGTTATTGAATCCTCCTACATGCCCGTACCTCTGGTATATAAAACGTAGAGTGGAAAAACCGTCCTCCAACTCAGAGTACGAGACTCCCTTGCTTATTTTTAGCAAATCCACGAATTTGTGAAAGTTAACGGCTCTTGGAGGGATCAAATACTTATGCCTCAGACCTTCAGCACTTCCCATATAACCTGCTATCTCTTCCAAGGTGGGTGTGGGTTCAAAATCCGAGAACTGCATGACATTATGAGCTGGGTCCCAAAACGTAACCAACGCCTTTATGATGTCTCCTCTAGGCCTGATCTTCAACAACCCGGTGAGGCCTCTCAAATGTAGATTGACCTTATCTTGCTCTGATTTACCCAGATCCTCCCACCACATATGCAATTCCAAAGGGATCTTGTTCATGACTGTTATTGGCAAACTTTGACTCGTGCTCATTCTGCACATTTATTAGGGTGATTTTCATTAAAAGAAAAATATGACTCATTTTGACTCAAGAAAAATGACCATTTTTTTCAAAATTTTCACAAAAATATCCGGCTTTGCCAATACGGCCTTTCAGCACTTCGAAAATAAAGATTTTAAGGCGGTGTCGGCTAACCAGCCAAAACCTTTAAAAGTGACTAAAGGTGGCCGTTCTTGCAAAAATAGCCTTCCGGAGCCCTTTTGAGGGACATTCGGCTATTTTTGACAAGAATGACATCACCTTACTTATTTGCAATAAACATAAATTTATTGTTCTTTTTGGGCTATTTTTGCAAAAAAAGGAAGTTGGACCCGATGGGGGTTGCCTACGTATCTCACATCCGGTGAGAATCAAACTGGCATAGTTCGGGCAAATGAAACAAAACCAACTATTTTTGAAAATAAGACTTTCTCTTTTTTTTTCATCTTTCTCAAAAATTCGGCATAATTTCAGTACCATTTAGACATTGGATTTTTCAAAATAGGTGATTTAACTCACTTAACCCTCACATTGTTATTTTCTTTTTTCCCACTTTCTCCCATTATTCAAAAGTCGGTCAGCATGCAAATCCAAATCAAATAAATGCACAAGTAGCAAGTAAGATGCATCAGGATGGTCTTTTCATTTTTGGTACACCTGTCCTAGACAGACCCAACCCATGTGTTGAGTCTCCAAAGTCAAATGCACATAATGCAAGCAAACGTTCCTACTAGGGATCCGGCATGAGGTCTTGTTATACTAGGTTTAAAACCTGGGTTTATTGTTCTAGACCTGGCTTACTCGAGCGGACAGCTCAAGCCGAGGGGGGGGGGCAGCATACCGGGAATACAGAAGCTTCACCGGCTTTGCAACTTGTTCGAAACTCATGCTAAAATTTGGGATATGACTCTAACAGAAGAGAAGTCACACGAAGTGCACACTCCTCCATGATTTAGAAGATTCAAAGAGAATATCAAAGCGGTAAAAGCAACACTTAGCACATTAGGCCCAAACATGTAACAAAATCAGATAATAAATAAAGTCAACTATAACAATTCATCTAAGCTCAAATTCTGAACCCTGAACCAGAGATTCTGGGTTCGATCCCCAGCAGAGTCGCCAGAGCTGTCACACCTCCTTTTTACCTACACCCCTGGAAGGGAGTATATAAGGGAGTTTTTCCAAATTAAAGTGACAATCGAAACAGGATTATTTTATTAAAAATTCAGAGTCGCCACTTGGGATAATTTATGGTGTCCCAAGTCATCGGTTTTAAATCCTGAATCGAGGAAAAGATTGACTCTGTATTACAGTCCGCGAACACAGAAATCAGGGTAAGGAATTCTGTTAACACGGGAGAAGGTGTTAGGCATTCCCGAGTTCTGTGGTTCTAGCACGGTCGCTCAACTATTATAATTGGCATATTATCTGATTTTAATACATGTTTTAACCTATTGTTCAATTTAACTTTATAACCGCTTTCATTAATTATTAGGAAGATTCAACATTATTTAAAATACGCCTTGAACCACGTCACATGAAATGCACCCGCGGTCCACGACACATTTTATTTAATGTTGTTGAGATTTGGATTTGAGTCACATGAAATGCACACCCGAGTTTAGGAAGGTGATTTTAAGATTACGAGCCTACAGAAACTACGCGTTTTCAACTTTGCGAGGGCCGTAGAAAATTCGCTAAACGACGCGCCTCGAATTCTAAGGATTTAAAAGAAATAATTAAATGAGGGCCACGCATCTGAGATTTTACTTGGCACGGCGCACCTCAATTTCAATTTAAAGGCAATACTTAAAAAGGTATAAGATGTGGATCTATTCTAAATTAATGTTCAATTAACCCTTATTAGTTGTAAGCTCACGTTGGACTAAACTTCCCTCACTTAAGCTCAATCATTCAATTCGTTCGTGTCAGCTAATGAGCATTTGTATTTGTAAGTAGATCAAATAGCCTTACTTCTCCTGATGCCTTCATTTATGCCAATGATGGATCACACACAAACTATACCAAAAGCAGTGGGGTTCAAACATTAAATAAGAAGAGAAACCAAAGTATGGTCACACATGACAAAGAAGAGTTGCGTTCCCATGGCAAACCAACAGAACAAACTCGGAATGTTTAACTTTCCAATACAAGAATCTTAAAGTTTACCATGACAAAGTATTGCCAACATGAGATTTCCTACGAACATTATAACACGAGAACCCAAAGAGAAAGAAAAAAAAGAGGGGGAAGCGATAGGGGACTTGCTCAGAATCATTG